CTCTCTCTCTCTCTCTCTCTCTCTCCCCCTTACCGTAATCATCTCATGCGTCATGAACAAACGAAATATAGAAATTTACCTTACGTACGTGCAACTTGTGAGTTCATGCGATCACATGTTAATAACAAGCAATTCCATTGTTATGTGCAGTGGCACAGAGATCACATGTCGAAGACGTTCGCTGCTGTATACACGGATGGACTATTCAATTAGCGATGCATACTCTGACCGAGGTCGAAGACGATGCCTTACGCCACTCGGAAACAAAGTTCAACAATTACCAAATATTATCAAGCACGAAGAATCCAGGGACGCAAGAGGAGTTAAGGTTCACTTTCCAGGACTTCGGTGTGCTCATGAGTGACACACGATGGTTAACAAATGATATTATAAATTTCTACATGAACATGATAAGGGTAGACAATATATGTAGAGCTACACATCGTGAGTGCGATACTCGATCAAACACGTCCGCTGCAGACACCCGAGGATTGATTCCTAAAACGACAATATGCAATTTTTTTTTTCTGGTTAAGCTCATGGATGAAAAATTACGATATCACTTTGCTAAAGTAGGTAAGTGGTTCAAGGAAGTAGTGATCGCAGAGAAGGACTTGATCTTAGCCCCATATCACAACATTCATAAGAGGCATTGGACACTTGTTGTGATAGATCCCACACGGAGAGTAATCGAGTATTACGACTCGATGGAAACAGACATAGACGTAGCCAAAAAGGTAGTCGCCAACGTGGCACGGTATATGAAAGACAAGTCATCAGAACAGGGAAAGGAAGTGGATACCAATCCCTTCAAAAAGAAATTGCGGGTCAGCGGCATTCCAAAACAGAAGCACATAAATCAATGTGGGGTGTTTATGCTTGCGTATGCGTCTCTTTTGGTGAGAGGGTCACTTGCCACCGTTTCAGTTCAACATGGATGATATAAAGCATATTAGACACTGAATTGCATTGGACTGTGCAGCATCGATGTGAGAGAACTTTTCGTTTTTACAATTGTGTATATGTCAATGTAACTTGAATCACGCGGTAAAGGGTGTTAGTTCAATAGAGCAATTTGTAAAGGATTCAGACTGACCATTTGAGACCGGTAGCAAGAGTAGAGAGTTGTGGACTCGATTTTCAACATGTCGAACTGTCGAACTATTGAATGGGAGGGTAGAGAGACTGTGACGGTACAGGCAACAACAGTAAAAAGTCTTGGAGTCCTTTTCCAATTAGGTACCTGATTATTCGCGACAATTTCGCCGATGCCATTGAACTAGGTTAATTATTCGCGATAATTTCGTGGATGCCATTGAATTAGGTCGAAATTCTGAATTTTCCATTTCATATTTTCTCATTCTCTGCTTGCCATCAAGAAAACCAAAAGTGCCATGAAGTGTGTTTTTCCCTTTTCTGGCTAAAGGCCAAGGAAACGGATCTGTCCTATCACTATTTTTAAAAACGACTGAAAAAATATAAATGAAACTTCATCATTGGACCACACCGTATATCATGTAAGTATGACTTGCAACCCTTGCGGTCCATAATCTAACACATGTGATGAATGCCTAAATGACACATGATCATATGGTATATGTTCCTATCATCTATGATATATAATCATGGTCTATGTTCTTTATGATGTATAATGTATGATGTACATGTCAGATCTATGGTATGTGATGTATGATCTATGGTCTATGATGTTTGATCTATCATATATGATGTATGATCATGATGTATGATGTGTGATCTATGATCTATGATGTTTCATCTATGATCGATGATCCATGATGTACGCTCTATGACCTATGATTTATGATCTGTGTTCCACAACCCATGATCTATGATGTATGTTCCTATGATATATGATCTATAATACATGATCTATGATATATAACCCATAGTTGATATTCCTATGATCTATGGTATATATCCAATGTCACAGCTGTGGTATTCTGGTATGTGATGTATGATCAATGGTCGATGATGTATGATGTGAGATCTATGATATATGATGTATGATGTATGATATATGATCTATGATGTATGATGTATGATTTATAATCAATGATGTGTAATGTATGACCTATGATCTATGATCTATGTTCCACAACCCGTACGACACCCGCTTTTGCACCATAAAATACAAGAAATTTAACGGTGTCCAATTTCGTGTTTTTAGAAAAGAATGTCAGAGTTAACGAAATATCTGTTTTTTTCTCTTTTCTTTTTTTTTCTTTTTTTTTTCCTCCTTTCTTGGACAGTAAGGACCTGCTAGTCCCTACTTGTGGTAGTCCCTACTGACGGCCAACTCACTCACTCCCTCTCACTCTTTTTATCTTATTCTTCCACATTTCCCTATCTTTTCTTTGTTTTTTCTAGCATGCCAAGTGTCAAGTGGCCGTTAAGGACCTTTTCTAGGCCCTTCCTTTTAGTTTTGGCCATTCCTATGCCCAAGGTGGAGTCTGTTGTATCTCGGGCTGCAATAATGGGCTTCTCATGCTCATGGGAACTCCCCTTTTCCTCTACTTTTCTCCCATAGTGGCCCCTCCTACTCCGATTTTCTCCCGGAGACCTATTTTTCTCAAGGGGTCCCTTTTGACTCCTTTTTCTTGAGGGAGGCTGATCCGAGATTTTTCGGATTGCTCCCATGCCTCCCACTTCAAGTTTCTTTACCTTTTCTTTTCCTTTCGGTGTCCCCGTTTGCTACTGCTTGTGCTTGCACTACCGGTGCTAATATTTTTGGCCATCAAGATCTCGATCTTGACGGTGCACCTTGTCTTAATTATTTTTTCTTTATTCGGTGCCGCCGTTTCCTCTTGAGACCTTCACATGTATCGGTCACTCGTCCCGTCGGTGGTCCCCGACACTTAGTCCCGCCGGTGGTCACCGACACTTAGTCCCGTCGGTGGTCCTCGACACTTGGTCCCGCCGGCGGTCCCCGCCATATTTTTTTCGGATACCATTATTTTAACTTAGTCCCGCATGGTCCCTAGCACCTTTCTTCAAGGTGTCCCACGTTCTTTGGGCGTCTACCGCCCTATGATGGCCCCTTTCTCTTGCTTTTTCTGGGGCCTTGCGTGCGCTATTTTTCTCCGGTCGGGGGGCCTCTAACCCGAGGCTCCCGTTAATTGTCGTAGGTGGCCCCCATGTTGGGCCCTTATTCTCTAGTGTTCCACGGCCTCCGGGACCGTCCACCTCTCGGCTTCCTCATTCTTTTGTCGCTGTTGTGACATATTCGTTGGGTCAATGGCCCATTGGCCTTAGTCTTGCTGAATTTCAACAACCCTCCTAACCTCATGCTATGTTCTATGTGCCCCTGTCCTCGCGCTTACTTGCTTGTCGTCGCTGGTTTTTTC